CTGGCCGCCTTTGCCAGCTCACGCTGGGAATGCATCATGGCTTTATCCAACTGTTCATACAAGTGATTTTGCTTCGCCTTCTTTTATCCTGCAGAGGCAGGCCGCGTTATTGCTGCAGTCGATAGTGAGCTCTCCGTATCAGGAAATAACAATGCATTAGCATCGAACGCATCATCGTGTTCAGCATCACCAATTTGCACTTCATTGGTATCAGCCCCCTCGATCTCTAGCATAGCATGGATTAGCACAAAATGAATCACCATAAAAATGATAAACCTCAGTTTCCTTCGCCGCTGCCTTCATCCGAAATTGACAGGCGCTGCCTCTTGCGGGTGGAGGGACGTGTCTCATGAATCGGACGCTGCCCTTGAGAATGTCGTAGCAATGCATGAATCGAAACGTTTCAGGTCGAACGCGTGGTTTGCGTTTAGACTTCGACCTGCCCTCTTCAAAAGCTTTCAATGCATTGATGTTGAGCTGCTCTCGTTTAGCTGTGAAGCGGTGCTCTGACTCAACTACATATTCTTCGTCAGTCCACCCACATCGACGCTCTGCTGTAGCCTAGAGTTTGAGTTAGTAGGAGCATTGACGAACATACACAACCGCTTCCTTACCGATACCAACACGGAAGCGAAGAGAGGACGTCGGGGCGTATCGATCCCGCCCAGCGACTCTGTACTGCTCCCGCTTTGCGTATTGTGCTGCAGCGCCCGTGAGACTCTCGTAGGCAGCATGAACTCGTGTCCAAAACAAGTCCGACGACTGGTCCGTGCTTATTGCGCCATCCTCTGAAGTATTCGTGTAGGCTTGGCACAGCCATTCACCTTCCTCTGTTGACCAGGCAGTAGAGGCGAAATAGCCTCCTCAGAGGACGATCGCCAGGACTTGATCACCCTCAACCGACTGGGCGAAATGCTGAAGCCAAAGTTGATCGAGACAGTCGTCAGTGTGAACGCGATCACGCGAGCTGCTGAGAGACGACGACGCACCCCGAAAGCGATGGACGAAGCTGTCATACAGCGCATACGGTGTCAGAGGATTAGGCAAGCTCAGGATGAAGAGAAGTGGATTGCTGACCTGAAGAAGTACCTGGACGGGGAAGTGAGTGACCTGACAGCAGAAGAGGCGAAGGCATGTTCGAAGATAGCCGCGAATTACGAAGTGGACGAGAACGGGCTACTCTTCTTTTGCCCCAAGACGCTGCAACGAGGCGAAGACCGCGACGGTGTCGTCAGGATGGTGATACCCGACAGCTTGCAGCGGGACTTCCTTCACCATTATCACGCCAGTCTTGAAGGAGGCCATCAAGGCGTCGGAAGGACGTACCGGAGGATCCAAGCGAACTTTCACTGGCGCGGGCTGTATCGCAGTGTACAACGTTACGTGGGAGAATGCACCGATTGCGAAACCGGGAAGGGAAAGCCAACGGGTCAGGGAGAATCACCAGGAAATATCCAGGGTACATACCCCTTCCAGGTGATCTCCATGGACCACATTCCATCGTTGCCCAAGTCGTTCAAAGGAAACACCGAACTGCTGATTTGGGCTGACTTGTTCACCGGTTACGTGATAGCCAAGGCTGGTCCGTCGAGGGAGGCGCAGGCAGTGGCTGAGAATTACGAGGAATGCGTCTTCCGTCGTTTCGGCGCAAGCGAAGTCATCAGACATGACCGGGAGCCTGGCTTTATGTCGGATTTCTTCCGTGCCTTCAGCCGGATCGTGAAAATGAGACAGAGCGCGAAAATGGCTTACCGTCCACAAGGGAACGGCAAAGCCGAGCGAACGGTGC